TAATTTTTCAATTAATGATTCCTTGAATTGTTTCAGGGACCGGATCAAGTGCCGCGCAGGGTAGAAGTGCAGGACCTCGGCGACGGTAAATACAAAGCGACCTATCTGCCGGATGACTGCGGCCGTTACAAGGTCAACGTGAAATACGGCGGCAAAGAAGTGCCAGGCAGCCCGGTGAGCGTGCAAAGCGTTTCCACCGGCAAAGCGGACCAATGCAAGATCAAAGAGGGCATTCAGCGCACTTTGGCTCAGGGTGAGGAGTACTGCATCACCGTGGATACCGAGAATGCAGGCCGCGGTGCAGTGACCTGCCGCATCCGCTCCACTTCCGGAAGGTAAGCACTCCAGGCCCGATTTAAATCCGGTTATTTCGGAAAAGATGAATCAGAGCGACAGAGAGATACTGCGGAAGACGTTAAAACTCACTCTCGCAGAAATTATTGTCAAATCAAAGATAGCGTGCTATATAATTTTCTTTTCGATAATCTCCGATGCCGCTACATTTGTGACTAACGTATATATGAAAAATATTTATTTTACAAAAAGATATTGCATGTAGCATTTATCAGAAATATTTCGTTATTTATTTGATTTAAATTGTGTGTCTCTCTCAGATTTCTAATTTTTGCAAGCAAAATGATTGATAAAAAATCATCTCGTTTATTTATATAATGCTCATGTACTTTTAATATATTAAAAATATTAAAAATATTAAATATATTAAAAATATTCATTTTAAATATTAAATATTCATTTAAATATTCATTTAGTATTCACTTTCATATCTAAATTGATCTTGTGTTCGTGTGTAAAAGCGGTTTATATTTTTATCGCATATCTCACTCTTGTGTTTTTCAATCTTTGTACAAGACTCCAGACGAAAATTCCATTTTATTTTAAATACGTCGCGCCATCGCGGTCCACTTATTTTTAATTCATAGGCGAATTCAAGAGAGATTTTTCTTGCTCTCTTATGCTTCTCTTTTTGAATAAGAGTTAAACAAAGTTAAAAAAAAATTAGTATCTTATTGTTGTACAATTTCATAATATACGTTATCTTTAATAATAATTAAATATTAAAATATTTTTTTATTCTTCATTTTATACAGTCATTAACTATTTTTTTCAAATAATAAATAAAATATTCTCAAAACTGCCGTTTGTGATTTGTAATTGTAAGAGTTTGTAATTGTAAGAGTTGCGACAAATCAGTGAATTTATTAGACGGATTAAACAACAATAAGTTTCTTATGTTTTTTAAAAATATTTTGTACACGATAGCGACCAATAACGATATATCGGGATTAGTTTCTAGATGTAAAGATGTTAATGACTAATCTGTCATAAATCTTGTAACAAATTCGGGAGAAATCAGAATCATGGCATGCTGCCATTACGAACATCATGTACGAGAGAATAACACGTTTGTGGTTCGTTGCGTATTTCTGGTTAATCGTATGCAATATCCATACTAATTACCATACTCTAACTTTGAAATTAAACATCGTGTTAGCTTAATCCAAGAACGCATATTTATAAGTATATATCTATAAGAGAAAAAATATATATTTAATATCTTTAATAATACTTTTAATGCCGGCAGTGAAGAATATCAGATCGAAAGATTATTTGGAAAATATTAAAATTAATTAATTTTTATAATAACGTATATGGAAATCATTTATCAGCAATAATGGATTACTGATGGTGTTAATAAAATTTCTTTCATATACAACAATAATCTTTCACATAAAAATTGAAACATAGATGTATAATATTTTATTATTTCTTATTTATAATATATTGTTGTGTTTATTAATTTATTTAATTAATTTTAATTTTTTATTTTATTTTTGTGTTTATTTTATTCTTATTATCAGTGCACCTAGATCACGAAAATTGAAATCTTGCTACATTCTTTTAATTTTCTATCAAATAATTATGTATAATTCATAATTTTGTAAATTTTATATACTTTTTTATTAATTATATATTTTTGAACAGTTTGTATAAAATTTATGAAGTATATCAAAGTTAATTAAAAAAGCATATAATATACAGTTTGATACAGTTTGATACTTATATCATGTTACTCTTTCAATTAAACTCACTTACAACTCATATTACTCTGGCAATTAAATATGTTAGATAAATTAGACATATATATATATCCTTCTAATTGGTATAGTTGATGCCAAGCTATAAATTATTTTATATTCTTTCTCTGAATGGGAGCCACATTGAATTTCGTCATAAAGTCATTTACTTTGGTCATTCACCTTGTTTGTTAAATTTAGTAATAATTTAATTGAATTTAAATTAAATATAATTTTGTAATACTTTACTTTATATTTACATCAATAACATTTACATAATCAAATAATATGATAATCACATATAATCATCTCGTAAACAGACTTTTCAGCAAAAGTTTTCCAGTATAATAATACACAGGAAGAGCTATAAAATATTATATTCAATTTATATTATATTTATAATGTAAACTTTGGATACTTTTATCTTATCTCTTTATATTTTTATAGCTCTTTATTTATATAACATTTTAATTATAAAATCCATGCAATCGAGAGAGAGGACACAGTTTAAATTAACCTTAATCATATTGTTATGACAAAATTAGAAATGATAAATCGTATAATGACAAAATAATTTGTTTTACTATAAAACATTTCTTGTTATGAAACTTGTTTATTGCAATATCAACATGGAGACAGTCGTAGTAGTGTCTCGCATTTGTGCGATTATGTTCTTCGTGAGTATTTCGGGAGCACTAGATAGACTTGCACTTATTCTACTCATACATCGTGCACATTCATGCATAACTACTATGTTGTTCTTGGATTTTAACTTGGAATTTAACTCTAATCGAATCAAGTATAAATGCATTCTGAACACTGACAGTAGCACGTACAGCTGCTATCTCATAAATCATCGTATTATCTTGCGTTATTCAAGCTGGCAGTGAGTGTCTTCTGTCAAGAAGATACTTCAGAACGGACCAATTTTTATCCTAGGTATACCGAATGATAAAATACTACATCACATTTAGTGTCTCATAATAAACATCATTTTCAAAATACATTTTATATAAGACAATGTCCTGTGACAAATAATTGTTTATATTTTAAAATAGAACGCATTTATTAAATATAATAACAGCATTTATTAAAAATAGATTCTGTCATCAAGATTTTCTCTCTATATTATATATATATTTACTTTTATTTATCAAAGTTTTGAAATAACTAATGGAAAAAAATATTTCTCTATAAAAAAAAAATAAATAGCAGATTTTCTTAAGTTTTTAAATTGCACCTAACAAAAATTATATTTAGATAATATCAAATTACGAAACTAATTTTTATTATTTTAACACAAATAATAATCTAACAGGTTTCTGAGCAGGTTTATAATTTCTTAAAAAAAAATACTTGTCTTTGCAATTAAAATGTACGAATGACAATATATTTGTTTACTATAATTTTATAATATGTTACTTTTGTGAAAATTATTGATTTTGTTTCTTTTCTGAGGAAATACAGATATAGAGAAATTTTCCATTTAATTGATTTATGTGAACACACAGTTCTCGACTTTCTTAAATTTTTCTCCCATCGGACGAAAAATAGACAATTTCTTTTAAATATAAATATATATATTTTTTAAATTAAATTTTAAAATTGTTTAAATTTCCATTTTTTATTCTGTGTAAAAATTAAGAGAGCAATTTTAATAATTATGAATAAAATCTAATAATAGTAAGACACTGTTTAAAACGTTCGCATAATTTATTATTAAATGAAATTGTAACAATGTCACGAAAATTTACTCGAAAATTTCTTGAATGGCTCTCTGTTCTATATTTTAATACATGAATAATATTTCGCGATAATTTCAGTGAAGTCGTTGACATTGATATAGAGGACAACGGTGATGGCACTGTTAACATTTACTATACCGTTGCCGATGCCGGAGACTATACCCTCAGCATCAAATTTGGCGGACAACCGGTGCCTGATGGATTCTACACTTTTACGGTAATTATGCACACATTTTTTATACTTTAAATTTTGGACTACCTTCATATATTCAAAATAAAACTATTAAGAGTTTGCAAAATTCTTTGTATAATATTATCAATAATATATAAGAATTTAACATTAATATATAAATCCGTTACTAAATTTTTTTTAATTTTCTTGAAAATTTCTTCTTGTTTTATAGTTACATTATATTTTAGTTACATTATGCGAGAGAAACTTTAATGAGTAGAACCCTCGAATTTTCTCGCTTATTTATCACCAGCAAATGTGACACCGAATTTATCTCTGCAATATACAAAGTAATTATATGAAACTAGACCGTGAAGCAGGCGCTAATGAAAGTGTTATATCTTGCCATACTTGACAAAATTGTCATACCATTACTTGATACAATTTTTTTTATTCTATTCTTGAAGATCATAAGATTGTATAACTCATTATATTCAACTAAAAATATAAAATGGTACAAATTAATTAAATGAAATATTTTAAAAAAAGTCTGTTATATACAATGCTTTAACATGTGTCCATTAATGTCATGAAAGGATACTCTGGAAAGATTCAAATTATGTTCATAGAGAGAAAGAATGTATAAAAATAATGTATATTTATTTATTTAGCGAATATTTAATAGAAATTTGGAGAATCGCCCTCAAATTTCTTATTCATTAAAATATTTATTAATTATTTACTTATGGCATAAAAATATTTATTAATTATTTACTTATGGCATAAATTGCTCATACCAAAACGAGACAAGCGAGTAGTGTAGAAAAAAATTTTAATCTTTTTTTTATCCTTTAATGTGGTAGTAAATTTCGTTTTGCGAGGATCTACTCTTTGAAGAAGAATCACGAGACGCGAAGAATCATGATCGATGAATATAGTAGTATGTCCAGCATGTGTAATCATGTCTTCTCGATACCGATCTGGATGGCCGTGCTCTCATCGACGAGTCCCGGGGTGGGTGGGGCGCGAGGTGTATCTAACTATAGAGGCTACACGTAATGCAGGATATTGTCGCGTAGTCTCCAGAGAAACAGTCCACTGCGAAGGCTCATCGGGATCGCATTCGCCGACTCGTTATCGCACGAATCCTCGCCCATCACGTGGACTTGGTCGCGCTGTAACACAAATTCCTCTCGAAGTAACATTCACACGCACACGCACGCATAAATCTCTATATCTCGCTATATATCTCTCTTACAGTCTGTATATTCCTCCCCCATCTCACGTGCACGGATTTCCTCTAACTACGTGTGCATGTATGCCTGTGTGTGCGCACGCGTGTGAGTGCTTTCGTCATCAAGTGGTCCAAAGTGCCTCCGATCGCAAGTGTTGGAACCATAACTAAAAGTCGAAAGCTATGAGAAAAACTTTATTAATCCATCTGATGCTATTTTATTCAAGCTTCTCGAATATCTTATTTTTTAAATATCGAAAATTTTTATTTTATTTTCTAAATATTATTTATATTCGTATAATTCTGGATAATTTAAGTTAATGTTATAATTACAGAGATACACTGTCTGACTATTCAATTTTTTCGACTGATGAAAGAAAATATTCTAAATCAATCTTTTTATTTACACACTCTGTCTATTTTATTCTGTCAGTAGAGATCAGTAGAAAAAAAACACATGTGTCAGACATTGTTCGGTCGATTTTTTTTTTCCTTTTTTTTCATAGTAGAGTAAAATAATCTGACATATTTCTGTTTCTCTCTCTCTCTCTCTTTCTCTTTCCATAAATAAAGTATCAAAAAATTTATTTTTTTTTAATCTTTCTGTTATCTTTGTACAGTTTGATCATTTTTATTTGTTTTTCTTGAGATCCGATTATTTCATTGCGAAGTAAAACGCTACAAAGCATATGGTAAGGATAGTAGAAGCCGGTGATATAAATGCTTGCATATTCGTGCGGTCGCTTCAACACTTTGTGATATCTGCTTAATTAGTCTACTAAATTTCAACTCTCGAGAAAAATTATTGATCAATATATCAAGGAAAGAAAGCAATGTATCTTGAAATTTTATATTAAATTATAATTGCTTTCTTTTTTTGACATACTGATGGAATAAAGTATTTGCTGTTTTTTTAAATTGTTGCACATGTGCTTAATTCACGGTACTCAAATGAGCCATATTTATTACCGAAAATAGTTTGACAAGTCAAATTAAAAAAATTAATTGGTTCCTTTTTATTAAATTATGTTTTCATAATAACTCCAGAATAATTTTATTTTATTGTATTTGAGAGTGAAAAATAATAATTTAGTAAAATTTAAAATTTAGAAAAACTAAAGTAAATTTCATTACATTATTTTATTATGCCTTAGATTGATAGAAAGATAAGAGAGTACGTTATTTTACAATAAATTCATTTCATTATGTGCACAGAGCGAAACAGATAGAGACACCATATAACGCATCATAACTTTCTTTACGACTGTCGTGCATAAATAATATTTTGAAATATACGATGTGCCTAGTGATCATTCTATTGTCTAAGACGTATGCATTTAGTAAGATATCCATACCGATGGAGCATAAATTATATTCTGGAAATTAAAGCTACGATCCATTTTGAAATCCAATACGTGTTTCGTACCCGTCCATCCTTTAGCGAGAGCTCCTAGACTATTTCGAGTGCGACTCAGGCTTTCCCAAATTTATAAGCAGAAACGGAGTGGGTGGCCGAAGGAGATGAGGGAGTGAATTAATACCGTGAGTTAAATTAAACTCTGCGCCTCGATTCATAACAGCGGCTTTGTGCGATACATTTCTCTTGTCAACCGATGTCGATGTTTATCGTTATTTCCTGCTTTTTCTGCAGAATAGCTCTCAATTAAAAATCGACTTTTGAAATAATCTTCGCGATTATTTACGATTGATTACTAGAATTTCTAGAATCACTAGAATTATTTATTTAGAAGACTAGAATTATTTATTTACAAAGAAATATTGGCTAGTTTATTTTATTATTACTAAAGCGATTATTTCGCAACCGGAAAAAACAGTGATATGCACTTGAAATGTTTATGTTATAATTGTATAAATAAAACATTCCGTAGAACATTGAGAGGTTTGTGAATCTCTTGCTTTAATGTCAGTTTAATATAGCTGAATCGGTTATAAACAAAACGTAATATTATATTTGGGATTTATTCAAATTTACTGTCGTTCCATATATTGCGTATTTCACATTTGTCGCAAATTTGTATTATATAGAATATATTAAAATATTATTGAGACTGCATACTTGGTCAATCTATATAGTTATTTAATTAAAAAATATAACTATACACCTATAAATTACAAAGCTTTTAATTTATAATTGCTAACTTTTTAAAAAAGTTATATTTATTATGTTTATTACATTTTTAATTATATCGGCAATTATATTATCTAAAAATGATTGTCCAATAATTTTTTCTGTTCCATGGAAATCTTGCAAATATAATCTTACCAATTCTTATAATCCCAAATTGATCTCTTCGATTGCAAGTAATATTTGATATTTCATCAGCTGTCGCTTGTAAATTTACAATCATATTTATAACACAATCACGTCCTCGCGATTATTTGCACTCTTAATTCTTTTATAATATGGGCGAGTGGGGGCTGAGTATCTATTATAGTACGTGAAATTGAGCATTGTACCCGAAATTACCGGTTGGATACCAGCAAAGCGCGAGTTTCGTGTCGACCACCGACGTAGTTGGGCGTTCCCTCATAAATCGGTGAAGTGTGATAGTTGTCAGGTACGCAACCAAGCGATCAAGTAACTCCTTGTAAAGGGAAATAAACAGCCTGCGGATCTCCGGAAGGCTTAGAATATGGCACCGATCTTGTGACGGTCGCGATCGTTCGCGAACTAAGTGAGTGATTGCGGTAAATTATCGTGATAAAATAAGGCACTTTTTAGAGCAATTTAATTGACAAAAGACAATGTTTCGCTTTTCATTATTATACTATAGCACTTTATTAGCATTATTATGGTACTAAATAACTTATGGTACTAAATAAATTTTGAAAATGCTTTTAGCTTTCTTTTATTGCTCTGTAATTTTTTTATAAGATAGAGGAAAATAAGATCAAACAGATTACATATCAATATATGATTTAAAGAAGAGAATCTTTAATTTTAATTTGTACAAAAAAATGTGATATATTTTAATTCATACTTTTGATTTATATAAAACTTAATTCACATTTTCGATCTATACAAAAAATATAATATATATATATTATTAAAAATAATTAAATTAATATCTTTTTGCGAGGGAAGTAAGAAATATCTACTTTATGCTTAATATCTACTTTATGGTGTTATTGCTTTGATTTCACCGCATTACATTTTTGTACCATCAAACTATTTACGCAACACATTCGGTATTTTCCCTCGAAAGCTAATTTTGATTTCAGCTGCAATATTGCGTCTTGACACGCTTGGCGTAGTATTTCATATCTTATAATTTAATCCCCACCTAAATATTTTATGGAGGGAATTAATATTTGATTTTACTGAATCGGCTTTTGCGAATTGTTTGATTGAGAAGAAATGAAAATATACATTTCTACACGAATTTATATGAAATAATAAAAGATTATTCTGTTATACATTTATGATTGATTGCAGACTAAGAAAATTGATAATTCTTTTGTAAGAACTATTTTCTATGAGCTACATCAAACTAAATAACCGAGGGTTGTTTTCCTTTATAATTAAACATTTGATTTAAATGTCGTTGTTATAATTGGCTAAAACTAACTACATTTGACTCACAACAAAATATAATTAAGCTTAATATTATAGCAACTGCAAATTAACCAAATGTGAATTTATTACAGACAGGCTTTTTATGATGAGAATTTTGCAATAATCTTGATGTGATTACATAATAAATTCTTTACACGCATCGCACTTTGGCTTGTGACCAGAATCGAAATACGTAGATTCTATCGTAATGAGGTGTAACGTACACCATCTCCCGATTTCGAAAATTCCTGCGCTCCTCTTTCCTGTGAAGATTTCGCAAGAATTTTATTAGCGCCCGCAAAAAAAATGAAAGAAAAAAGTTTTTTTTAATGTTTGGCATCGCTCCAGCGCCGAAATATTTTATCATGCGATATTACGATATCGCGAGACACACCTTTGTCACATCGTAACTCCCAAGTTACATTTTTATTAATACAGCCAGCAAGCAGTTACTCCTCAGTCTGCGTTTTTTCATAATAATAAATAAAGTAAAAGTATCGATTTTTAATATTTTAATGAAATATAATTAATTGTCAATTATTGTGTAATAGTATACATTATATTTTCTTTCTCTCTTTTTATTAAGACATTATAATTATAGCACTATTCGCAACCAAAAGGGATAACGAGAAAATATACTTGTCAGTAACAGTATTAAAATTAATGTTTCAATTTCATGACGTTTCAGGCATCCGAGGAGTATCGGGAACATAGCACGCATAAAACTCAACGAGCTCGTAAGTTACGTCAGAGACAAAATCAACACGTCGTTGAGCAACGAAGCACAACCCTACAGGAAAGTTCCACTGTCACTACAAAGCGCAGCAGCCAGCAAGAGCTATCGAAGAAGAATTTCAACGTTATCCGGCTAAATTCCATCCCACTACCTCTTGCGAGCGGTGGCACAGTTATTTGTGAGTACATTTTTAATATCTTTAATTCAAATATTTTTTTCGTGAAAATAATTGACATAATGATAATTTGATAATTTTCGTTTGGAAAATAATACGCGTCTTTTCCATACCGTCGAGAATTTTGTAAAAGTATATATGTGCATGCAAATGCCATAAAAAATATGTTATTTAATTATCATTGATACTTTAATAATATTGCAATTATATAGATTAATACTAAAAATTCTCGAATGCGTAGTATGATTGGTTGGAATACTGGAAAATATATTGTGACATCTCTATCGGTTTAATTGTTTTTAAAATGTTTAATTGTATTTCATAAAATTGAAATATTGAATAATATCTTTTAAATAATATTATTAATCGAAAATGAAAATTTTTATTTATAAAAGAGTGAAAGAATTTTGCAATCACAATCGCTCAACACAATAATGAGAATAACACAATGCGGCGTATGATTTATTGTCGTCTTGTACTACTGCGACAAAGAAACATCAGGTATTTACAAATCTAATTTTATTAAAATAATAAAGTAAATATATATTAGTTAAGATAAAATTGCTATTAATAAATGATAAACAAAGTTAACAAGAATGTCTGATTTATTACTAGCTCATACTACTGCGAGAGTGACGCGCTTTGTATTCGTCGAAATATTACAAATAATTCTTTGATGCTTCCTTTCTTTGCAAAAAGATAATGGAGGGAATTTTATTAATTTTTCTTAAACAAATATGTTTTATACAATCCATTTTTGAAATTATAGATGGAATCATTTTGAATACATTATTTCAATCATTAGTATAATTGTTTGATAAACACGTTCAGCTTCGAACTAATATTGATCAAAGCAATATCAACATGATTCGTTGTCGTATTATTAATTTATTTTCTATTATTAGTTTAACGGCAATAATGAACGTAAGAACCGCGTGAAACCGACCTATTTGAGATACGCAGAAATAAATCTCAGATTTTACTATAGAACATATATTGAACCTGATTGCTCTCAAGATTTTACGACGCGAATTTTTTCGCCTCATGCAAAACGGATATGGCGCTCTTAAATATTTGTCCAGCTAAAGCTCTCTTTTTTCTTTCTACAAGTTAAAAAAATGAATTTGTTTCGAAATTATTTAATGAATATTATGACAATAGAATGATCATTAATCATGCATTACGCGTAACATTAAATTTAACTTGTACTTGCGTGACAGTTCGTTTGTGAGATTGATTAATCGATACATTGCTATGCAATATTTTGCGATTAGGAGTTTAAGAACTTTAACATGCTAAATCAGTAAATAAATAATAATATAAAAATTAATAACATAAGAATTTTATAATAATAAGATGAATAATTATTAGTTGGGCTTTAAATTTAATTATTAGATTAATATAATATTATGGAAATTAATATTTATATTAGTATTATATTTATATTAACATTTATATTATATATTAATATTAATTTAATAAGTTTTTGCTCTTAAATAATCAAAATTTATATAAATATATATAAAATCAAATTCTTCCTCTTAACGATTGACGTTAATAATTAAAGAGATTAACGAATAATTTGATTCAATTATATATAATTCCGCGGTTGACCAACCGCGTTAAAAGAGCGTTAAATAACAAACACGATAGACACGTCGCGTTTTATCCACCACCTCGCCAAAAATACTGGACAGACCGGCCAGTACGTGGAAGAGGAGTATATGTATATCGCGCGGATAAGCATGACATGCTGTCCGCGATATTAATATTGGGTGATTAAGTAGCTCCGGATGCATGATACCCGGTTGGTCCAAAGCCGAGTCTCGTGATTCCGAGCCGAGGACGATGGCAAGTCCAAAAAAAGAGCGGTCCCTTGCCACTTTGAGATTCTTTCCTCATCCTCAGATCAGGCTCCGGTCATCCTCTCGCGCTGGCATGCGAGAATCAACTGGAACTCGGATTTT